TAGCTGGAATTATTGTTGCAGGATGGGATAAGCACAATGGTGGCACCATATATAGTATTCCAATAGGTGGTTCATTACATAGACAACCTTTCACTATTGGAGGTACGCGTAATAACTTGGCGTGATTCTAGTTTCCTATAAGATTCCACCCTTATTAATCATACTATTTTTTATGAATATGACCCCAGGTAGTGGATCTTCGTTTATATATGGTTACTGTGACGCTAACTTTAGGAAGAATATGACACAAGATGAAGCCGTAGAGTTTGTGAAAAATGGTTAGTTTATTATAGGGGTTGTTGTTAATGGACAAAATTAATTGGTCCTTTAATATGAGACCAGCTGGTCAAAATCGGTCGCATATTATAAAAAAATCAATTGGCCAGAGCTATTAATATTCTTTAGTTATGATTTGTAACTTTTCTAAATAATAATCTCGAAAAATAATTTTACCAGCTGTCACCCTGGCCATGTCACGAGATGGATCATCAGGTGGATGCGTTAGAGTCGCTATTATCACAGAGGACGGTGTAGAAAGGCGTTTCTTCCCGGGAAATCAATTGCCAGGTCAGTTCAAAATTTTAAGCATCTTTATATTAGTTTATATAAATAACTATTATATATATATTTTTACCATGCCATTTACATATTTAGTGTTTTATGAAGGAGAAAATAATGTATTTTAATAAAATACTTTTCTAAGTGTTATCAAATACTTAATGAAACAACTTAAATAATTTTCGACGACTGTTATCCGATATAAATAAACTGTGAAGTTGTAAATTATCATTGAAAATCCAATATATTTGGTCTTGATATCCCCTGCTCCTTTTTCCGGCAAATTATATGTACCAGTAAATCTGCAGCCACTCAATCTTTTAACTCTATTACTTTTACCTTATAAATCACATGCATAAAGCAGTGTTGGGAAATGACCGGTCATCTGATTCTAAATGACTTCAAATGGCCCCAGGTCATTTGTCGTTTGGTCATCTAATCTATATAATATATATGTATTTAAATAGGCGGTATCATGTGATTGAACAACCGGCAAATGTGTGTATAATTTTTATATCAGGTCATTTAGTCATTTCAAACGTAGTGCCAACACTGGCACAGGGACGGTGAATAATAAAATTCCATTTTATTTTGGTACGATCAATAAATTTAAGTATCCAATCAAAATCCAATTTTTGGAATAATTTCAGATTTGATTGCTATAATAATTTCATTTTATTCTTAATGGAAGTATTCACCGTCCCTGCGGCATACAGCAGATCACGGGAAAAGTGCAAATTTTGTTGGACTCTTGGGCAAAAGTTTCATTTTTGATGGATCTGCGGTTATTTTTTTGATAGGCCTAAATTCACCCTAAATCTGTGTGATTTAAAATGATGTTCTCAAAACTTATCCGTAATTTTAATCGGGATCATCCGGAAATTACTAAAAATTTATCCTCAACCTTCGTTAGGTTCGTTCATTTTTTATATCGGAAATTTTAGGTATACCACTCCTATAAAATTAAAGGATTTGAGCTCGATGACCGCCTAACTAAATACAGCACAATGAATCTTTTTTTATTCTGATTCTGCAGTTCTGTAGAATCAAAATAAAAAAAAAACATTGAATTTGGCTAATAGAAAAATGCAAGTCAGTAATTAGTCAGTGCAAACCCAGAATAAGTTATAGAAGTTCTAAGGCAGGGTGTGCAATCCAGTGGAATGGGCCAAATAGTAGTTTCTGGATTAGTATAATATGCTTGAAAATAGTTAGAATTAGAAGGTTTAAATAGATAATTCTCTAGTTAGATTATAGATATAATATCTAGTATAGAACCTGTGGGTAGATTACTAAATAGTGTTACAATGCTATAGCTTTCTTAGTATAATTATAGCAAAGTAATAAGGTTACCTGATGCAGTGATATACTTTATGAATATATACAGGGTAGACATGAAGTATATACTTTTTACTTTACAGCAGGAAGCAAATAGTTCAAGATAATAACAGTTTATTAATAATAATATTTATTAATAACAGATTTATAGTAATAATCTTGTTTATAGAAATTACTTTAGAGGAAAATATCAAACTTTATAAGTAGAGAAAGGTAAAAGGTGGAATTAGATTTTATGAAAAAGTAGAGAACTCTAACTTTTTATAAAAATGTAAAGAACTTTAACTTTTTATAAAAGTAAAAAGAACTCTAACTTAGGTGAAAAGGCAATAGTTTTTTTTTTATAACTTTTTTACAGATAGATATATAATAAGATAATTGCCTAACTATATAGAGACAAGTAGAGACAATTGTAGAGGTGCCTAAAGATATTGGTGTAGAGGCTAGTGCTTGATACAATCAAACAAAAATTTAACAATCAAATACTTGTGATTAAATTGGATATTAAACAACTAAAACTAAATATATAGTATTAGTTGATTTGTGATTATTTGATGTTTAACTTAATTACAAGTATTTGACTATTAAATTTTTGTTTAATTTTGCCAAGCACTAGTAAAAACACTGTTGTAAAAGTACTATTGTAAAGGCATCTAGAGATATTGTTATAAAAATACTTAGAAACACTATTGTAAAGATATATAAAAATACTATTATAAAAGCACTTAGAGATACTTGTATTATGTGCTTGTAATACCTAGCTATAGTACTTACTATGCCTTATTTTCTAGCCAATAGAATTTTTTCTGTATCTAACTAACTAGCTAATATATAATATAATATAATATAATATAATAATAACTACTAACAACATGGGGTGTAGCAGCTTAGTAAAGTGGTCTAGTCATTACCTCACTAAATAGCAGGTCCAAAGTTCAAATCCCACAGACGATGATTTTAAAAAATAAGCCTGCATTACAGTAACGATTATCTGTTAATTAGTTGGGTCCTAGAACTTGTAATCTCGGTAATACCATGTTTATATAAGAGCTTTGGTATGTAAAAGGCCAAGAAACTAGGATGATCGAAACCTGTTTGGAAAAACCTAAATAAGAAGTAGCTACAAACTTCGACAGTACTACAGGAAAGACCTGAATTTGGAAGTTAGAACCGAGATTAGAGAACTGAACAACAACAAGATCTTTTAGTGGGGGATTTACCAACCTAACCACCAATTTAGAAAGTTAAAAATCTGTAAGGCATTATAAAATATACCAACCCTGGCCAACTAGCATGAGAAACCGGTAGTGGAGGCCCTACCCACCAAGACTAGGGGTTATAGAAGTCAGGTGACTGACAGAAAAATACCAGGTATGTCCAAGAAACCAGCCTACTAAATTAGAGGAAAAGGACATATGCTAGAAAATCATGTATCAAGATAAGACAAGGGTACCGGCACCTAATGCCAAGCCAAGGTTGAATCTTTTGGGTCACTGGTTGGAAGTAAGGAATAGATTAATAAGGAAATAGCAGAAAAAGAAAAAGTCTGAATGTGGATACTGGGATTAGAAGTAAACCTTATAAAGGCAAAAGTGGTTAAATAAGAATAATTCCAACTACAAGTGAAAGCCTTGGCAACTGCACAAAACCAGGTTGGCCCAAATGGGATAGGGAAAGCTCTGGTAGATTTACCTCGAGGATAGCCTATACATCTGCTTAATAAAGGAATACAAGCTGATAATTAGTTAGTGCAAACCCAAAATAAGTTGCAGGAAGTTCTAAAGCAGTATGTGCAATCTAGTGAAACAGGCCATTAGTAGTTCTTTGGTTAGTATAATATGTTTGAAAATAGTTAGGATCAGAAGGTTTAAATGAGTAAACTCTCTAGTTGGGTTATAGGTACAATATTTAGTGTAGAACCTGCAGATGGACTACTTAAATAGGTACTTAAAAAGTATACATGTGGCTAGTTGTATCTTCATTGTAACTATAATAACAAATAATTACTAATAAAGAGTTCCCAGGCCAAAGAGATCACCTTAACACCAAAAAAAAAATAATAACTACTAACAACTATAATGCTATAATATAATAATTAATAAATAATACAATAATAGAATATTTTCTATACTATACTAAGCTAGTGTTGTTTTATATTACAATCTACTTTGTAATATTTTTCTTTCTTTAAAATTTTACTTTGTAAAATCTAAACTAAGCTTTATAAAAATTTATAAGAGTATTAAAGCCTGCATATTAATATTATTAAAGTTCTTAACTTTAATACAACTTGTTTAATAAATATGATCATATCTTTATTTGGCTTAGGTCTTTCTAATTGTAGTATTAATATTATCTTTATGATATTACAATAATAAAATACCTATACTAAAGCATGAATCTAGTTATAGTTTTTATGATCAGTAACTTTCTTGTATTTGTTTAAAAGTTTGGCAAAATATTTGTTTGGATCAGGTTCTACAAGTACAGTTACTAGGAATATTTGGTTATTCTCACAAGATATAAATTATGCTTTAATAATCTTAAATAAATTAACAAAAGAAATAATTTGGTTGTTGAAATTTGCAGAAATACTGCATATATAATTTGTATTCTGTATAATTGTTGTATTGTCCAAATCAACAATAATAGTTACTATGTATTGTAATCTATTATAAAGTTATTGCAATTTATATACTTTTTGATAAATCTGGAAATGTAGCCAAGTTGGTCAAATAGCTATTTCAAATTAACTATTAAAAAGTAATTATTAGATTATTTGAAGTATTAATATGGAAATGATTTAAATTAGAGCTAAAAAAGATAAATTTCTAGTCTTTAAATATCTGTTAAAGTAGTTGTTTGTACTATAAAGTTGAAAGATCTTTTCTATTTTATTTAACTCATGCTTATTTTTTGTATTTTCTACATGCTATAATCTATTTACATATATTTTATCTTGTATTTCTCACATTTTTTGTATTTATTTTAGCTATAGCTTGGCAAAACCTCTTAATCTAGTTTATTTTTAATATTTTCTATTTAAAATTTATAAGATTTACCAAACTTTTCTTTTTGTTTATTTAAATTTAGCTTTTTATATTCTAATTCATTTCTTATTTTTAAATTTGTAAATCATATCATTATTGTTATAATTTTCTTTATTTATACTATATGATAATTTTTCTATTTTAGAAAAATTATCTTATTGTTCAAATTCTATTTATATTCATACTTCTTACAATTCTTTCTTTCTTAATACTATTCTTTTTTGTTATTCTTTTATATTAAAAACTTTTTTTATCTAATAATTTTTTTTTCTTTTAGTTGTAGTTTCTTGAAAATTTTTTTCTGTTTTGTTTACTTTGCTTTTAATTTATTCTAAGGTATATATACTTTTCAAACTGTAAGCTTAGCTTTATTAGTATTAATACTTTTAGAACAATCTCCAGTCATCTATTTTAAGTAAGCTAACTTTCTTTAGTAGCTTTGTAGCAGCTTTAGCTCACTTAGTTGCCTTTAAATATTTGGCCTTAAATAAATACTTTTCTTCTTTGTTATTTTTTCTTTTTACATTTTTTTTATATTCTTATTTTTAAGTATATTTACTTAGGAAAAGCATTCTTTTTTAATAACACTTTTGTTATTACTATTTAGATACCTTGTACTAACTATACTGATCTATTTAAGCAATAATCTGAAGCTTGCAAAATCAAATAGCAAATCTGCAAGCATAGTAGCAAGAGCATGATCTGTTTGAGTTAGTTTAGCAGAACTATCAATATAAATC